GTACTGGCATGTCTTCATATGACCAGGAAAAGATCTCAACATAATCATGCAATGGCTGAATTAGACGCTCCTTGACACTCGGCTCTAGATTGGCACCCACCTTGATTTCCTTTTTATCTCCCTCGGTACCCAAGTTGATTGTATCCAACGGTTTATCATGAGGCTGAATAGCTCTTTCCTCTTGTTGTAGTAGTCTGGCCAATTCCCCTGGTACTTCACAATCTTCCTCACCTTCATATTAGGCTTGGTAGATTAGATCTTCAGAGTCACTAAAGGCCATAGAAGTATCGTTACCCATGGGATCTGGAATGGAGAGGTACCTTCATTTGTGAGTGTGGGTGTATGTAAGGGTATAGCCATCTTTAAACAATAAAATGTAAAAGAAAGACAATGAGCACAAAAGGTTTATATGTGGAAAAACGTCCATGATTCATTGATTGTCATATGAAGATGAAATAAAAACCCTTACAAATGGACCATTGTGCCTCGGGTAAGACACAAGGTTTTTAATGTGCAAATTGTTTGTGAATATTACAAGTCCAATAGAAATGTAAAAGATAAATTACTGAGAGATGATAGTTATTGGGACAAAGTCTCTGGCTTCCCAATTGCGAAGTCCTCCGTTGACAGTAGGAAATATCCAATCTTCCAAGTTTCCATCTTCTTCACCATCTTCCACTGCGTTGACCTCTCAGTTACTAATCTTCAAGGGTGGCCCTCCAGCACGGGCACGATGCACAGCCTTCGGAGAATTTGAAGTAAACCCTAAGCCAAACTTGTCAGATTTATACGGAATGTCCGGAAGCTGCCCCCATATGGTGCATCCACCCTCCTCTACTACTGCCTTGGCGTCCTTTAGAGATGACATCCGAAGCGGAGGTCTTGTGATCTTGGGGATCGGGGATACCGCCTTGGTTACCTCTACCTCTTGAGAGACCTCTTCGAAATGTTGAAAAGGAGTTTCAATGAACTCTCCATCCAACTCCACATACCGGAAAGAATTTAGATGGCTAATCATGTACTCCTCCTCTCTGGGGACAGTGATAATCTTTCCATGGACCGGGTATTTCAGCATCTGGTGTAGCGTAGAGGTGACAACACCAGCATTATGGATCCAGGTCCGTCCTAGCAGACAAGAGTAAGAGGGGCGGATGTCCATTACATAGAAGGTTGAGCTGAAAGTCTGAGTTCCTACTTTTATGGGGATGTCCACCTCCCCGTGGACCATCCTCTTTGAGCCATCAAATACTCTCACAACTATGTTACTAGGTTTCAATGCCATCCCTTCGCAATCCAATCTGTCAAGATCTTTCTTCGGTAAGACGTTCAAAGATGAACCCGTGTCCACCAAGACATGGGCCAGAGTCGTTCCTCTACACTCCACAGAGACATGTAATGCCTCATTGTGCTTTCTCCCTCTTGGCGTCAAATCAGCATCAGAGAAGCCTAGGCCGTTATCAACTGTCAAAATGGACACACAGTCTTGGAATTGGTCAGCAGACGTCTCTTGTGGCACATGGGCTGTCTTCATAAATTTCACCAGAGCTTTTTCATGTGCCTCGGAACACAGTAGCAATGCTAGCATGGAGATCTTGGAGGGAGTTTTCCCCAACTGTTCAACCACGTCATAGTCACTCTTATTTATTATCCTCAGGGTCTCCTCCATTTCCTTCTTGGAGGTTTCGGGGATAGCTAGTGGTTGAGCCTTCCTCTGGACATGCTCTTCTTGAATACTTTCTCCTCGAATTTCAGCAGTAGAAGTGTTGGTAGGGATAACAGCAGGGGTCGTGTCGTCTTTGTCTGTAGGTGCACTTGCAGATATGATTATTGGTACACAGGTAATCTTCGGAACAGCCACGGGTCCAAAAACTGCCTTTGGAGGGGCAATCTCTGGAGAGAATATTCTACCTCTTCGGGTAATTTTACTAGTTCCGGCAATATTGCTAATGTCGGAATCTTCTTCTTCGGAGCTCACTTCTTCGGCGGTTAGCCCATCTTGTTTAATACCATCCTAGTAGATTTCTCCACCGTAATTCCACGGTACTGTTTTATCTGATTCATACGGGACCGGCCCGGGCATTGTGATTATGAGAGAAGCAGTTTTCGGAACCGATTTAATCCTAACGAGTATTTTGGGGACCCTGGAAGAAATGGCGGAGATGGTTATGATTGAAACATCTTCAACAGGAACAGTTGAAACAGGAGAATTTTCAAACAGAGTCTCTTGGTTATCTATCAAGCGTTCAATGCCTGTCTTCAACAGAGGGAAATCAGTTGGTGAGGATAAGCAAAGATGACAGTATTCATTATAACCTGGAAATATACCAGCTTTCAACAAGTTTATCTTAATGATCGGGAGCGGAGTCAAGAGTTCATCTACAGTAGCAACAAACAAATCTTCTTCGATAGCATTAGCGTTGTGACCATACCTAGGCATCGGAGCAGAAATGACATTTGGCTTCTCGGGTGCATCAAACTCAATTAGTTTTGCATCTATGAGGTCTTGAATTTTGTTTTTCAAGGAGCAACAGTTGTTAGTGTCGTGACCCAGACTTTCGGAATGACACTACAAGAAAAATGATAGATTGGGACGGTTATTTTGGCTGATTACGACGGTTAAAACCGTCGCAATTTACAATCTACGACGGTAGAAGTACCGTCGCAGAATCGTGCGTCCCCAGCCTATTTCGCGACGGTTGCAAAAACTGTCACGCACAACAGATAGCGACGGTTATATACCGTCGTGAATTTGACTTTATTTTTTGTTTTTGTTGTTGTTTGCGACGGTTACTCTACCGCCGTAGGTTAGAAATTGCGGCGGTTTTAACCGTCGTAATCTGATTTATAAATTTCAAATAATATTTTTATTTAAATTATTATTTAGTAAAATAATTTTAAATATAATATTATTTTACTATTATATTTAAATTATTATTTACTTTAATATTTTTTTATTTATAGTATTTTTATTTTATTTTCTATCACTTTTCAACATAATAAAGTTAATTACAATAAAAACATTTAATATCAAATAATCATCAATAATATCAAAAAAATGTGATCAAAGGTAAAAAGAAGTGCAAATTTTACCAATAAACAAGAAAAATTCAAATATCATCAAAGGCCAAATTTCATTTTAATATTTACATTGGTTTGCTACAACTTGAGAGAATTACAAAAAATGTTACAATATTCTACAAAATTCATGAAAGTCCTTAGTGTTAAGTGATTTTGTGTTAAACTTCCATGCTAGGACCATGATCCTTCCTTGACTACCATTTGGTCCAATTCTACTTGTCCATTTTTACTTGTCCATTTTGCGCTTCTTCTTGTACCTGCATTACAAAACTAACTGTCAATTATGGGTTGGCAGAATAACTCTCACAACAGTTTGCCTAACACAATGACCAGATCTGTTATTCAATAAAAAAACCATTGTTAGCAGGATTCCTGATATTGAGATTAGAACTGCCATTATTTTACCTTTGCAGTTCGGTCAAGTGAACCACTGTAAAGTCGGTCACCAGATTCTGAAATTGTCAAGCTTGTCACAGCCTTAGTATGTTCTTGGATCTCTTGCAACAGAAGTAACAAGTTATCTTTTAACGTCCAGACCTTCAAAAGTTACAAAGTATTTTCAAGTAAGCTATTCATTCAATCCCAGTAAAGTTGTCATATGAAACCAAGAATCAAACATTTTGCTAATGACCAGGTATATATGTCACGGTATTCATATAGCCATTCAATCTTTCAAGCAAATGGCGAACACCATGTCATGAAAATTTTCTCCTTTTTGTGAAACCTTGTATGTTTTATTGTAACGCATTTAGCTCATGCTAGCACAAAATTTAAATAAGCTATAATAGGTAAAATAATTATATATATTATCTGACATACCGATATAAAACTTATAATATTTGTTTCAATAATTGTAATCACGGCACGTTAAAATTTACACGACATATGAAATCCCAAATTTTATTACCTTGATTCTTCCATCTGTATGGCCTGAAATAATTTTATCCTTGAACCAAATGACTGACAACACTTCTCCATTATCTCTGCAATCTACTTGAATTAGCTCTTTATGTCTCCAAATGTCCTGTTACAGTAAAGAATTTTAAATCATCTGCTATCCCTACACTAGGAAAATGGTTTAAGAATACACCAAACTTAACTGTATTAGACTGATTCTCATCAACCAAAACGTTGAGCATTTCAGATGCCAAGGGAGAAAATCTCTTTAGCTCTCTCAAACCTTTTAAGATATCCTTAGCGTAGGAAGCAGTTAGATCACGTATGCCATCTGAAATTTACAATTTCAAGTACAATCATCATATATTGTTGCTTTGCATAAATGACATGCAGGCTTTTGAACACAATATAGAGAAGCCATAATAATATCATCTTATCTAAATCTGTTGAAGACTGTATTTGAGTAATTTATGATGCTAACAGAAACTGCAAATTCGATGCTATTTTCCTTCATAGACTATTTTTTTTTGTTATTATTATCTTTCTGCTCTAATTTCTTTAAATCAAGGTTGTAATAAATTGCCATGTTTGTGAAACTTACCAGAAAAATGAAGAAAGCTGTTGAGAGCAAGCATAGAAAGGATTCGGTTCTCTATGTCCTTGGCAGAATTTAATTTATTTACAAACTGCTTTAGCAGACAGACACGGGCTGCTCCTTGTATCCCTGTATCTGGTAGAATGGTTAGCATGTTTACGAGCCAAGTAGCGGATATAAAGCATGCTGAACGCAGTTCTGAAATTCTGCTCTTCATGCCATCTGCCAAAGCTTCAAAAAGTATACCAAACTCGTGGCTAACTAGAACAGACGCAATTTTTCTTTCCCAATCATCTGCTGCCTTCTCTTCTTCCTGTTGATTCCGAGTACACATATAATTCTTCTTCCAAGTGCCGATTAGATAGTAGCATCCAATATTTACATATGCCACAAATACTTGCCATCACATGATGCAATTAATCTTCAAAAGTTAATCTACTTCCGGGTTCACGAACTCATTCACTCCAAACTTCTTAGCTGTGAACAAGATTGATTATTACTAAAGTTAGTCCTTGAATTTATGTTGTTGACCAAAATCTTAAATCATTAGATGGAACACAGAAAGTGTTGTACCTAATTCAAATCGACTGGAAACTAAATCAACTCCAATGATTCTTGATGCACCAGAGATCCTTGCACCTTCAGCAGCCTACATTATGGTTAAAAAAGAAGAGCAAAAATTAATATTGTCTCATTTCATTTCCAATCATAGCTGCAATGCAACACACACATGCAGACAAAGATATAAGAGTAATAACATACAGCAAGGCCAACAACTCCAAGCCCAAAGATAGCAACTGAAGAACCTGGCTTTGGTTTTGCAACATTCACAGTAGCACCAAGACCTATAAGCATCAATGCAACTTGAATTAGGAAATCACAGACCAAGCCTGGTAATATATAAATATCTGAAGCTAGGGATCTTGTATATATATACCTGTGCATATTCCACAACTGAGAATACAAACTTTGTCAAGTGGTGCTTCAGGATTGATCTTTGCAACACATCCAACATGAACCACTGTGTACTCACTGAATGTAGAGGTGCCCACGAAATGGTTTATGGGCTCTCCATTGATAGAGAATCTAGACTTGTTATCATTGAGCATGACACCTCTGTCAGTGTTGATCCTAAGAAGATCACACATGTTGCTCTCCTCTGACTTACAATGTGGACATTCACCACACTCCCCTGTGAATACAGGCAGGGCTTTATCCCCTGGTTTCAGATGAGTCACACCTTCACCTACGCTCTCCACGATCCTGATAAACATCATTCATTCACATTACATACTAAATTACTGATACACTAAATAATCAAGACATTTTATCAGAAGAGAAGCATATACCCTCCAGCTTCATGACCAAAAATACGAGGAAACAATGGAGTCTGACCCTGAAACAGTGGCAAAAAAGAGAAAACCATGTTAAGCTATTGCGATTCATAACAACATACAGAAAAAAAACACACTATTTTCTTAACTGTACGACCAACTTCAGAACCATCAGATTCATCCAGCTGCAGCTGATTGTGTTCGACCACACTATTTTCTTTAAATTTCTAAGAGACCATGGGCTATGGAACTCAGAAATGAAGAAAGGTGATATCCTATCAGCATTACAATTAAGCTATGATCAAATGCCGTCTTATTTGAAGCAATGTTTTGCTTTTTTTTCCCTTTATCCCAAAGGTTTTACCTTCAATAGTGATGAAATTATAAATCTTTTCGCAGCCCTTGGGTTAGTTCAACCTCGAAATGGAAGTGAAAAGATAGAGAGTATTCTAAGAGAATATATAGACGAGTTAAATTCACGATCATTTCTTGAGGATTTCAAAGACTATGGCTACTATTACAAGTTCAAAGTACATGATTTGATACATGATCTTGCAATACATGTTGTGAGAGACTACTTTGTATTGGTAAGCTCGAACACTCAAACTATACCAGAGAAAGCAAGGCATTTATCAATTTTAGAAAATGTTTTACTTGACTCTAGTTTGATTCCGGAGTCCAAAAGAGTGAGAACTATATTGTATCCTGTTCAAGGAGTGGGTCTTAAAAGTAAAGATCGTTTGCACACATGGATATTAAGATACAAATACTTACTATACTTAGATTTAAGTAGTTCTTCATTTCAGACTTTGCCAACCTCAATTGCCAAATTGAAGCACCTGTGTGTTCTCTATATTAGAGATAACCACCAAATTAAAACACTTCCGCGCTCTATTTTCAAACTCCAGAGTTTGCAAGTTTTGTCCCTCGTTGGATGCACGGAACTTGAAACATTGCCCGAAGGATTCGGGAAGTTGACAAGCCTTAGAAAACTGTATATAACCGCAAAACAACTTTTTCTGTCACTGGATGAATTTGCAAGCTTGAATCATCTTCAAGTTTTGGGTTTATATAATTGTGACAATATGAAGCATTTGGTCAGCAGGGCAGAAACACTATTCACTTCTCTTGAAGCATTGTATATTCAATCTTGTAAGAGCTTGGAGTCTTTCCCTCTTTATATTTTCCCGAAATTGCAAACTCTGGTAATTAAAGATTGTCCGATGTTCAGTCTGTCGTTGAACTATGAAGGCCCAATCCGGAGGCAGAGATTGAGGTTGAAACATCTGCATCTTAAGAGTTTTCCACAACTTTTGAAACTGCCTAGATGGATTGAAGATGCAGCAGAGATTTTAGAAACCTTGAAAATTCGAAAGTTTCCAAAACTCAAGATGCTTCCTGAGTTTCCAACATTAATGACTCATCTCAAAAGCCTATATATTGATCTATGTCCCAAACTTTTGAGCCTTCCAAGTGACATGCATCGTCTCACTGCACTTGAAGAACTTCGCATTTATCGTTGTCCTGAGTTGTGCCAAAAATTACGGCCCCCATCTGGAGAGTACTGGCCCATGATTGGCCGCATCAAGCGAATTTCTATTGGAAAACATTAATATAGGCATCAAACTTGAAGGTAAACATGTTAGGGTCTGTTTACATTCTAAAAGCATTTCTAACATTAATTGCTTTCTGTAGTGATTGTCCATGTAGAAGTTTCTTAGCATCTCGGCGGAAATATCATTGAACACAGTCATACTCCAATATTTCAGGGGACCATTCTGCAACATCCAAGGACAACAAGTTCTTCAGCGGGTGTCTAGTTAAAGTATTAGTTTTTCATGTCTTAGATAGTTGAAAAGAAGCAGGAAAGGTATGAGCGATAGTGAGTGGAGAGTTTAACCTTAGGTTTGGTGGATTTAGCTTTGTAGCATAGAAGATGATTTGTTTTATCTATGACATCCTCCCATTTATGGTTCTGATTTAGAATTTCATCCATTAAAAACTTCAAATCAGCATCAGTGACAGTGTTTGAGGTTCTGCAATTGTAAACCCTAAAAAGCCCCAATTTCAGTAAAGCGTATGAAATTGAACGAAAATAAAATGAATAAAGTAGAGTAGTAGACCTTGGGTTTAAATTGCTAGAATCGGAGATCAAAGAGGACGCCAACAGGGATCTGCTCTTACGGTTCAGAAGAAACAATAAAGTAACAACAACAAGAAGAAGAAGAAGAATAGCGCAGCCACCATAGAAGTTGCTCAAATTTAAAGGGAAGCCATCGAAGCTTCTTAAGGTTCTCATCGAATTGATGTGGTTGAAGTTTGTACAGAGAAAAAGCAAAAGTATGAAGAAATTTGGAGAAAGATACGTGAACAATAAATAAAAAGAGAAATAGACGAAGCGGGGTAAAGGATTTAGGGGGACGACGGGTGTGGTTACCGTCGTGCCCTTTCATAACTTTTGCATGTTTTTTAAAGGTTTAGGGGGGCGACGGTTGTTTTACCGTCGTGATGTCTATTTTAGGACGGTTTCTTAACCGTCGCAACATTCATTTTAGGGCGGTTTAATGAAAAATTGTCGCGATATTTAATATTTTTTAAATATGTAAGGACGGTAGGTGTATACCGTCGTGACATGGGTCCCTATATTAGAATTACGACGGTTATTAAGTAACTGTCGCAATTTTTGTGTCGTAAAATCCTAATTTTCTTGTAGTGTGATATGCACATCTGGGATTTGGGTGATAATGAGGGGACGCAGTGTTGGGATTTTTGGGAGCTTCTTTTAAAGTTGCCAGATTAGATTTCATAAGATGTGGTAAAACCTGGGCTAGAGTCATATTAATCCTGGTGAGTTGCCGGACTGGACTTTCCACCCTTGGTTGGTTACTTCTTAGTTGATCAGACGTAGGCTTTGGGATCATAACGGCCCCTACCATTGGTCGGTGCTCAGCTCTCCCTTGGTTCCTTTATAGATAAACAGCAGATACCTCCTTCTTTCCAGTGAAAGGCTTTCTCACAGCTGTAGAGGCAGATGAATCCTTCTGAATCTTTCCACTTTTTATGCCGGCTTCCACCCTCTCTCCGGCTAATATTAACTCAGTAAATCTAGCAGATGAACTCCCAAACAAATGGTTGAAGAAAGGGCCCGATAGAGTGCCTAAGAACATATCCACCAACTCCCTTTCAGACAGAGGGGGTTGCACTCTCCCAGCTAGATCTCTCCATTTTTGTGCGTAATCTTTAAAACCCTCATTTGAAGCCATAGCCATACTCTGAAGTTGAGTATGGGTAGGCGCCAAATCTGCATTATACTGGTATTGTTTATAGAAAGCTGCGGCAAGGTCTTCCCAGTTGTGGACGTCGTCCCTTTCCAATTGGTAAAACCAATCGAGTTATGTTTCAGATTATCTTGGAAAAAACGCACCCATAGGTATTTATCGGCGGAGTGTTGATGAATTTTTCTCACGTATGATCGGAGGTGCATTTTAGGACATGACACCCCATCATATTTTGCAAACAACGACACTTTTAACTTTGGCGTGATTACAATTCCCGACACTAGCCCCAATTCTTCAAAATCTAGACCTGGTACCCTTTGTATTTCCATGGCGCTTAAACGCTCTTCAAGATGTCTGTACTTATCATCAGCCAGAGGGTATTGTTCCTCTGAGCAATCTTCCTCTTTTTCCTCCTCTTCAGATTCTGACGGAACCGCTGTTTCTTTTCCTTTTCCTTCTCCTTCCTCGAAAGTGGTTGCAAAATTCAAGGTTCTTCTGGTATGTCCCTGAAATCTTCTCCCCATATTTAAAACCATAGTGGCTTTCTTTGTTTTCTTCTTTCTTTCTACAGCTAACAAAGTCTTCAACTCATCTTGCCCCTTGGCTAGGGTCATGAGTAACTGTTGAAACTGCGTGTTTTGAGCTTGAAGATCTTTGACCATCTGTTCGAGATCCATCTTACTGAAATAAACAGTAGAGAGATGAGGAAACTCGTTGCAAAAGACCTGTTTATGTTATGATGAATGATATGTATACATGCAATGCTTTCAAGGATTTAAAAGATTCAAATTTGTTTTAAACAAAAAGAAACACACGTTATATTAATAAAACAGAGTTTGAGTACATCAATTCCCCTTGGACAAAATAATACAACACTCTAAGATAAAAAAGTACTACGCATCCTTTTTGGTGCTATGTAGGAATTTAGAGTCTGCTCCTCATAAAGTAGCATAGTGAGTTCCAAAACCTTCTTCTCGCTTGCGTAGAATTGGGCTTCGAAAGTATCTCGCTCTCCTTTGAGCTGTATCCAATCCCTTTATAGGTCTTCAAGATATGTGGGCATGTTAGGATGTAGGATAGTGTATGGAACTTCTCCTTCCTTAACAGGCTCAATAATCACTGGGAGAATGGAAGGATAAGGCATCATAAGACTTTGAGCACGGGTTCGTACCCACTTGAGGTAAGGCTAAAGAGGGATGGAATTCTTGTGTCCCAAAGTCTTTTTATCCACCTTGTTTAGCATCCTCCAAGCTCGGATGAATCTCTGGCGAAGACCTTGATCGTTGTTGTCGTAGTCGAATACCAAACCTTGAATCAGCATTTCATGTGGGCCATCCCTTCGGGAATAACCAAACTGTCTTAGAGCCAAGCATGGGTTGTAGGTGATGCCTCCCCTAATGCCAAGTAGAGGGACATTAGGGAATTCCCCACAAATGGTCAACAATGATAAAATTCTCTTTGGATCAAGAGCACCAATGAATATCTGAATGTTTGAGCTTCATTAACCTTTGTGACCACCTTAAACCTTGCTCATTCTTTAAGACTGATTGGGGAAGATGAGAAATAAACCATCTTGCTAGGAGGGGAGTGCAACACATAAGGACACCTCTTTTCCTCATTGTACGAGTGTGAAAAGAGTGTAGGATATCCCCTAGTAATGTAGGCACCGGATTGCGTGACATGAAGATTTTAACGGCACTCACATCTATGAGTTAGTCAGGATTGGGAAATAAGACCATCCCATAGATAAGAAGAGCCACAATCTCCCTAAAAGCTTGCAAGTCTAGGGAATTCCAACAGCTTTGGGCTTTCGCAAACAGAAACTTTGCTAAGAAGCCTTTGACACCACTTCTAGTTTCCCAATGAGTTGTGACATCAGATGAGTGCAAGTGCAGGGCTTGAGAAATCTCTTCTGGCTTTGGATCTCTTTCCGTACCGTTGAAAGGTAGTTGATTGAGAATAGGAATCCTCAAGAGTTGAGAGAATTCTTCCAAAGTAGGCACAAGTTGATAGTCATGAAATGTAAATCAATGATGCAAAGGATCAAAGAACTGGAAGAGAACTTTCATCATATCCTCCTCTGTGTTGGAGGTGACCAAGTTGATTAGACGACCATGCCTCTCGGTGAATGGAGAGTTCTCAGGGATCCTTGAAGCTAGCTCCTTGAGTTGTGGAGGAATTCTTACAAGGTTGATTTGGATAGTTTTCCTGCGAAGTGAATCCATATCCTACAAAACAAGAACAAAGATGAATCCAAAATCCTTGAAATGGTTAGTGGATGCATATGATGTTCATGTTGTCCATGATGTTATGTACAAGTATGCATATACAAGCAAATCAAACAAGTTTTTAGTTTAGGCTTTGTTGTACCCCAAAATTTGCCCTCCCATTTCCACAAGAAATCACAACCCCAGGGTTTTTCTCTGATTTTTAAAATCGGCTAGAGAATCGGTCAAACAAACTCTTCTTTATCAGTTAATTAAGAATTAGGGTTTTTATCTGATTGTTGAGATTGGATCAGGAATTGATCAGACAGATCTTTCTTTGGCAGTAATCCAGGATACCAATTGTAAGTTTAAGAATGCGCCTAAGAGGGGGGTGAATTAGGTGGTGGTCGATTTTTGACTTATTTTATACTTTCTGGTTTTGATTTAGTGCTTTGAAAACTGTAAAGTGCAGAAAGTAAAGAGACACGGAGATTTATCCTGGTTCCTTCCACACCCCGGAAGTACGTCCAGTCCCCTTGCAAACACGCAAGAGATTTCACTATTTTGTTAGAACTTTTACAAGACTCTTCCTAGTCTTATCAACTAAAGAACCTAACAAATACCAAGAACACCCTCTTGGATTTCCATTAAGTCTCTTGAGAACAATCCTCTCAAAAGATACCTCTTGTTTCCAACAATGGACAACAAGGAACAAAAGTAATCTAATACTTAATTCCAACAATCCTGGAAATAAGTTACACTTTGTATAATTTTATGAAGTATGATTTCTTGAAAGATGTTGATCACATAGAATGACTTATTTGAAGTTTCTTCTTTTTCTCTTGTAAGCAATTCAAACTGTAACACAATGCTTAGATAATGCTCAAAGATTTCTGTTCTTTATATGTGTGAAAGTGCAGAAAATCTTTGATCTTAAAAGTTAAGAAATATGAAGTTTGAATATTTTACAAAGTTCAGAATTATTGCATAAGAGAAGAGTTGTTTATGATTTGAAAGATTTTGTATTTAAAGTAATCAAGATACCTTTCCAAATGGACACTTTTCTGTTTGAAAAACTTGAGAGGATGCAATGTATGACCATGCATCTATTGGAGAAAAGGTGTGAAGGTATCCTGAAACCAGTTCAGATTTTTCAAAATTTACAATGTGTTAGTCGATTAACATAAGATGTAAATCGATTGCACGGGTTTGTAACCTTCAGAATTTCAAAAAATTTGAAGTGTAAATCGATTAGCATGTTGTGTAAATCGATTTACAAGAGTTAAAAATTCAGTTTGTTCTGTGATCAATCGATTTACACAACATGTAAATCGATTGCTGGCAGAGACAATCAGTTTTTTGAAAAAGCATGTGTAAATCGATTTACACAAGATGTTAATCGATTTACAGCAGAGAAAAGCTTAAAATTTGTTTTGAAATATAAGTGAAGTTTTGTGGCAAGTGTGTATATCATTTTTGAGCATTTCTAATCAATGTAGTTCAATTGAGAATTGATATACTTGATTGCTTGCCATGATTCTTGAAGCTTTGAGTGAATGATGCTTTAAGTTAATTTCACTTCTTTTCCTTCTTTCCATAATGCTTGTTTGTCTTTCATCAAACTAGCTTGTTTGTCTTTCATCAAAACTAAAGTTGATTTGAGGCTTGAGATTACATTCTCCCCCTTTTTGATGATGACAAACCATTTTCCTTTATGAGTTGTTCAGAATTTGAGCAAAAAGTGTTTTCTCCCCCTGAGAAGATTTCTCCCCCTATGGAGAAAAAGATTTGAAAGCTTGCTCTGTAAAGACAAT